ATGTCTTTAAACATACTAGAAGAGCAGTCCAGTGATGACTTGCTTTGAAAAGCTAGTACTATTTTCGTAATGTGAATAAATGCACTGTAATGTTTTGGCGAAAGAATATAGCTTTGGATTCAGAAGTCAACGGTTTGAATAACCTCCCTCCCAACTAACTTGCTTGGGATGACTTTTCTGAGTCTTTGCTTTGCTATATATAAAATGGGATTCATAATACCTGCCCTTCCTGTGTCCCAGATCTTTGTGAGGATCAGGTGAGAAGACAGTAAAGCGCTCTGTTCTGGTCTGAGATACTATAAATTGCTGTCTGATAAATTTGCATTTTGTGTGTTAGGTTCTTTCACAGCCACAGACAGTGTAGCTGTGCTTCTTCCTCCCATTTTTTGGGTTATTTAGCTCTTGCTGGAGCATCTGGAACGCTAGTGAAACACAAAGGGTGTGAATTGGATCTGAAGAGGGAAAGGCAGAGGGAGACTCTTACCCAGGGAGGGCAGGAAACATGCTTTGTGCTTAAGGCAGAAGCAGTGTGGGACAAAACTGAGTTTGATTTTGTGTAATCCAACCTTGTTAGACACCACAGCCAGCTCTTTTTAAAAAAAAGCCTTTTACTAGTTGGGCCTCTCCCCAGGTGAGAGGCTGATACTATCGCACCAAGTACATCTTTAGACCTGGCCAGACATCAGTCGTTCCTGGCCTCAGACAGGTTGGTTATCTTGCAGGGCTGACTCTTCTGTAGTCAGTCCAGCGTGCACTTGTGGAATACCTACTGTATACCCTCTGTGTTCCCCATTACAGGACGAGTGACTATACGTTCAGTCATAGAGCCTTGTACTCATTGGGGGTTTAAACACTTGTGAACTGACTGCCTTCATCCCCTGACCACAGCAAGAAAGTGAGAGTGAACCAAAGAAGACCCAGAGGTCTCTGAGGCCTGCTTGTGCCCTCTTAACTGAAAAGAACACTTTGATCCTCCATGTTAGGTCTCCTTCCTTTGGGCGTTCACCTCTAGTCTTTCCCGTGCCTTTGTTCTAGCCTCCAGGCTTGAATTTGAGGGCTCTGGGGTAAGCTTTCCATCCCCTGTACCCCAGCCCCCAACCCCTGGGGCATTCTACTGCATTCTGGGAACCTGCATTCTGTGCAGCATGTTTGGGCCAAGGCTGGGGTTTGCCCTCTGTGCTCTCAGGTGATGTGGGGGGCACTCTCCCAGGTGCCTGGGAGGCAGAGGCCAAGTATACTCTTTCCTGGTTTCCCTTCCTTCTCCCCCTCTCCTCTACACCCTCTTCTGGAAGGACCCATGTTCTCTGGTGTTTTGGTGTCTTTGTGTTCTTCATCCTGTTCGGCAAATGCTGATTTCCTTCCTCCTTACTGTTTCTCTCACTGGCCTCCCTTCAAGTCCTTTTTCTTTCCTTTCTAGTCAGGCCCTTTTGTTTAACTTTTAGAAGATATTTTATTTATTGTTCCTCATAATCAGGGCATTCTTTGATTCTCTTGGTGTGAGGCAGCTTGGTTTCCTTTTGGAAAAGGGCCTTCTGGGGGGCTGTCTCATGGCAGAAGGTTGAGTAGAATATATGTGGCATCTGCTTGTGCCCAGAGTGGGCTGATGGGTCTGTGGGTGGGTTCCTAGCCCTGCTCTTGCTGGTCTCTGGGCCCACCCAGGCCCTATAGCAGGTTGGCAGGACCCAGTCATTGGAACTCAGAAGTTTGATTCTGAAGGTAATTGTGGATTACAAACCCCTTAGGGTTGGAAAGTACCCCAGTGGTTTCCAACAGCCTGTCTGTGGACTAGCTGCCGCAGAACCTCCTGGGCAGGATTTACCTCTGGCTTGGCCACTGGGGCAAGTATTTGATGGGAAGAGATGGAAAGGGACTTAAGAAAACACCAAATCATGAAGTGTTCTTTTCTAGGCTGTAGGATCATGAGTGATTTTGCCTTCTTCTCTGTAATTTGTTATATTTTCCAATTAACATGTATTGCTTTTATGAGTAAAATATGTAATAAATGATTTCTGATTTTAAAAATGTCAATATATAAATTCCTAGGCCCCTTCCCTGGAGATTCTGACCCAGGTGGTCTGGTGGGGCCTGGGTACTCTGTATTTACAATAGTACCTCAGCTGGTTTTGTGACACCGTTGGGTCTGAAAACCACTGAGCTAATATTACACCTGCATTTTCCTTATAAGTCAAGTGAGGACTCACAAACAGGTTGGTGGAAGATCCCAACATAAAGCAAGGTCTTCTGATTCCTGGTCCGGGGATCATCCACCACCCATAAAACCCTCCCTGCAAATTTATGATTCCTAAGGACTGTCACAGGCAGAGGCATGGAATCTGGATGCTTCCCTTGAACGCTGGTTCCTGCACCTGGGCCTGCTTGTGTCCTTCAGCAAGACCTCAGCCTTTCTATCTGACAGCACTTTCTGGCCAACAGCTTCTTCTGGGTCCCCCAAGATGGGGGTGAGGGTACTTGCTGTCTTGCCTCATCACCAGAGACCTCATGGCCCAGAAAGTTACCCAGGCAGCAGATGGCCTCCATTAATAGAATTTGGGAGAAATTTGAGACACACAAAGATGGGATTGGGCCAGGCCCTGATTCATCGTGATCTCCCTTCCTTGGCCATTGACATATTTGAAGATATTTAGTGAAGGGGAGCATAGGGAGTCTGCTTTGGTATAAAGAGAGATGGATGGTGGTACTTGGAGCATAGTGATAGTGGGTAGGGATGTTGCTGTAGGACCAAATGGTCTGGGTTCAATGCAGTCCCTACTGCTTAGTAGCTATGTGGTAGCTAAGTTTCCTAACTCTTTCAGTTATCTTAATGGGCATGATAATATACACCTACTTCACAGGGCTATTGAGAGGACCAAAGGAGTATAATGTGCATACAACAGTGCTTCTCATGCTATAACATTCCTCAAAATCACCCGGGGAATCTTGTTAAAATTGCACATACTGATTCAGTGGGTCTGCATTTCTAGTAAGCCCTCAGCTTCTGCTGCAGCTGCTGGTCCATGGACCAAACTTTGAGAAGTACGGATGCGGAACACTCCGAACACACACTCAGAACACTGGCACACACCCTCCATGTTACTACTATTGTTATGATCATGGTTGTTATTGCTGCTTGGCTTTTTCAAACAGGCACCTGTGGAGATCTGGAATGCCAGCAGACTGGCCTCTCCAGGGATCAGTCTTTTCCTGGATTCTCCTTCTGTTCCACCACATGACCTTTGCACCTGTCTTGGGCAACAGCTGGGGAGGGGGTGTGGGAGAAGGGGGGTCCTCTGTCCAGCTGCTGTGGCCTTAAGTCTTCAGGTTTGCAGCTGAGTCCATTTTCATGCTACTTTACTCTAACTAGACTTTGTTAAGCCGGGTGTGTTTCCTCTTTTTACTCCTCTTTATTTACAAGACATGAGGAAACCATCAGTCTTCCCAGCCGCTGTCTGCCAGGCCTCTTCTATGGCACACCAGATTTCCCTTCTCCTCCTAGGAGTAACTGTACCTCCGGCTTGCTGGCTTGTCTTCCAGTCTCTTTTCTGCAGGGGAAAGAGGAATGCTCTTGCCATGGATGTGGAGCCTTCTGTGTTCACCTGGGTTGTCAGGACCTGAGGTCAGCCTAAGTGGACCCCTCTCTTTTGTTTGTGGTCTAGGGCAAGGTGAAGGGGAACCCAGTAAATCTGCATGGCTCTCTGGGGAAAGGGCAGGGAGGCTGGGGCTGGACGTACCCTTGACCTCTGGGAGTCCAAGAAACCTGGGCTCACTTTGAAGTTGTGCTACTGACTTACTCTATCCTCTTCCCATCTCACTAGTATTTGCCTGGTGGGGGCCAGTGCTGTGTTTAAAGACAGCCTAAGGGAGGCCTCCAGCTCCCTCTCTAAAACTTGCTCACATAAACCTCACATAAACTTGCTTGCTGACTGGGCCACTGAAGTAATCCAAGTCCAGCCTGGGCCAGCCCCTTTCTGCACATTAGGTTTTTATTCCCTTGTCCACTGAGAACCCTGTGGAGAGGCCCCAGCCCAGTCCTCCTGCCCTGGCAGACAAAAAGAGAACAAAGACCGCCTCTTCCAGCACCTCCCAGACCCCTGTGGACTCCCGCTGGCCTGTGAGAAATGGTACCTGTGTGGGCCGAGCACCCACCACAATCCTAGGAACCACTGACCCCTGAACTTTGCCCCCAGCTTCCCAGCCTGACAGTAGGACCTGGGATAACCTCCAGAGGTAGTGTGTATTCTTTGTTTTTGTTTTGTTTTCAAGTATGTTCTTGCTTAACGTTTAATTGGCTCCAGTCAGTAGGAAAGCGCTCCAAGAGGGATTATTTATGGCTTACTGTCAAGAGCAGCTATAAAAAGGGCAGCACTGAGCTGGAGATGCTGGGAAGGGAGAGAGGGCAGGCGCACAAGTGTGTGTGTGTGTGTGTGTGTGTGTGTGTGTGTGTGTGTGCGCGTGCGCGCGCGCGCGTGCACATGTTTGCACTGGATGAAATCAGATTTTTGCTGCCTCAGCAGTGTGGTTTAAATTGAAGATTAACCCTTTGACCTTCACAGTGTCAAATCACTTGCAGATGGAGGCCCTCCCCCTTTCCCCCTTGTTCTCTGTGTTACTTTGGAGTGGGGGGAGAGGGGGGCACTTCTTCTCTTTCTCTCTGAAGCAAGTTTGTTGTTCATGCAGCTGAGGTTTGAGGGGCTCAGGAGCCAATCTGATTAAAAGCAGCACTTGGCTAAACTCTGGAAAATCCTGCAAGCAGGAGAAAAAGTTTAATCCTCTAGTTCTCAGTGCATCTAGAGCCTGGTCTTTTCTTTTTAATGTTCAAACTGCAATTGTTTGGGGGGAACTCCACTATTTTCCCCTCATTGCCACTTCTCACCCCCGTTTATTGTACTGATAGGATTAAAGTGCTGGCCCCTGAGACATGTTGATCTGAACTTTTATTGGAAACAGTAAGGAGTCATCTAAAGTTGTGTTTGGGAGTTATGTTGACTTTTTTTCCCTTTCAGCACCAGCAGAACCGAAATCGTGTGTGGTGGCAGATCCTTCTCTTCCTACACAACCTCGCTTTGAATGGAGAAGAGAACAGAAATGGGGCAGGTCCTAGGTGAGGCTGGGCTGCCCTGTTCGCATGGGGCACCAGGAACGCGGTCTGAGCAGGAAAGACTTTGGGCAGGACTGTCACTGTGTCTTGTGAAGTTGTTTTTTGTTCCTGTGTTTTTATTTTTAAAATTTTTCTGTGTGTACATACAACATACCCAAGTGGGACCTTCTTTCCTTGATCAGGGCCTCTACCAGGAGTGGGGGCCTTTGTCAAACACTGTTGAAGGAGAGCCTGATGTGTCTGTGATGGTGGGAACGCCCACGGCTCTGACAAGTAGATCCTTTGGTTAGCAGTTATTGAAGATGACCACTTGGTAATGTTCTCCAGAGACTGGACTATAGTTTTTCTACAAGAACTTGGTTAAAAACTAAGAGACTGGATTAGACTCCTAGTTCCACTAAACCTGTCACCGTTCCACTGTGGATGGGGGCTGTGATCCTGATGGTCACACTGCTGTGACCCCCCCAGGGCCTCAGACAGGGGATTTCCAGCTGAACATGGCCATTTCACCAGGCCGGTCAGCCAGCTCCATGTCTGGGTTCTCACTGGGCCCAGCCATACCTGCCTCTAGGGCTCAGGGATTCTTGCCCAGTCCCTGTCACCTCCAATAGACCTCAGGGAGAGTTGGGATTCTCCAAGGACCCCTCAAATGTACTGCAAAATGAACCAAACATCTGGGTAGGCCTTAAATCTGACTTGGCCCCTCTTGGAGGCTCCAGGATGGGTTCTGAGGTACAGAACACTGCCACCTCTGGCTGCCTGGGACCAGCTGATCGTCAACCATAAATGAGCTGAATAGCCAGTCAACGTGCTTGTGCATTTGCCACTGTTCATTAAAAAGACTCAGCCAACAGACCACATTCCACCCCCAGCATCAGCACTGTAGGGCATAAAGGGGCAGGTTTGCAGCGGGGATGGGACATGTGGCAGCCATCTCACTGATAAGAGTCAGCCCTAGAGGACCCTGGACCCTTTGGTTTCCTTGGAAACAACGTACCTCCTCCCCCTTATCCCCATTCCTCTTTCACACCTAGTCAGATATAGGAAGAAACCAGGACAGTGGCTTTGTCCTCTGAAAAGTGACTTTTAAAATAATAGACAATGATTAGCGTGCAGAACTGTCAAAGCTGGGTAACATTTCCTGTCTTCCGTCAGCTTCCAGCTATACCAGAAGGGCACGCTCTGGAACCCAGCAGGATCACAGCTGCCTCTGAACTTCCTCCTTTCTCTCCCTGCTGCGGCACTCATGGAGAGAATTTAAAGCAGCTGGTCTGGCAGCTCTGATAGCAGGCACAGGGAATCTGTTAACAGGACACCTAGATGTTAAATGATAATTTTTACTTATGTAAGAAAAGACAACGTTGGTGCTAAAGTTGAAGCAAGGCCCAAGGAAAAGATGGCTTCCCTGGGCAGAGAAGACTCCGGGGCTACATTGGAGCCCCAAGGAAATTGGAGGAGGAGTCCAGAGTAGATTCTCAAATCTGAACAAGCCCAAGCTCCTTGATTCTGCAGAGAGGAGGTCTTCAGTACTGCTGAAGGAGGCATTGATCTTCTGGGTGTACAGTTGGCCAGGTTGGTCACTGCACAAGGGCACCTCCAGAGGGGGCTAATGGAGACTGAAATTCAGCCTGTGTTATGCTCACTAAGATGTGTGCCCTGGTGTGGGGCTACCTCTGCCGGGAAGGAGTGCCTTTCCTAATTTGCACAAAGGTGCCGTGTGTGCTCACAGTGGCCCTGGGGAGGACCTCAAACTGCACATAAGCCTTTGTTTTGTTCTGCTAAGATATTCTGGAGATATTACCTCTTCTTGGCCAGATTTATATTCTCAGGGTGTGTACCATGGTCTGTCTGCCAAGAAGATGAATTCCTGCTTCTAAGAAGGAGCCCAGGGAACAGGCATGAAGACTGGTTCTGGGACACACTGACCATTGTGCAGTCCAGCCTTCCCTGTGTGTCTCCATACCATTTCATGATGTGTATAGGACATATGTTGTTTTCCTCTGTCCTGGGTGAAGGCTGTGACAGGCAGGTTGCTGGTGTATACTTGAGTGGTACACACACACACACCAAAAAACAGGATTATTTATACTGGCCACTTTTAACCCCTCTTGGCAGACTTTCTACCTGAGCTGAGTGAAAGAGAAAATGGTCTAGACCTTGGTGCTGGGGCAAAACCATCATCCTCAGAGACCTTGCCAGGCCCAGGCTGGATGCCCTGTGGCCTGTCCTGAGAACTGAGCCCAGAGTTTGACAAGGCCACCTGAACATCAAGCCTGGGAACAGGTAGAAGGGGTCTTACTGCACTGTCCTCATCTTATGCAAAACCGAGAAGGAACTCAGTTAGGCCAGGGTGAAATGTAACCCCCCTTCTATCCTCACCCCTTAAAAAAAAGCCCAGAGATAACTGGCAGAGTACCCCCGGGAGGGAGAGAGGTTCCTCCTGGCTGGCTGTTTTTAATTGGCCTAGTGATCTAGACTGGCCCCTTCCCCCTCTGCCTGGTGAGTTGGTCTAAACATTCCTCAAGTCCAGCCTCAGGAGATATGCCCCTCCGGTTGGGCCCCCTCTGTCTCCCATCCCCCACCTCCAGGAGCCTGGCTGTCTCTAGTGAGGGGGTGGAGAAGCAGATTTAAAGAGAGTCTGACCTGGGTCCTGACCTGTAACCAGCTGAAGCCTTATGGGGCTTTTGTGGCTTGCCAAGAGGTGGGGGTTGGGAAAGGGACCTCCCTCCTCTTTGTAGAAATGCCCTGGAGCAAGGGAAGCCTGATATTCAGGGTCAAACAGCCCTTCTAATTTAGAACCCGACTAGGGGTTTCTAGAAGGCTGAGACAAATCTGGGGAGGGAACTCCCCAGGCCAGACATTTGACTCTTCCAGTGAGGTTGGAAGACTCAGCATGGCCTCTCTGCCTGGGCCTGTTTCAAAGTCTGGGCTGCTGGAGAGCTGTCCCCAGTGGCCTTCTCTTGTTCAATCCAGGTGAAAAAAGATCCCCTCCCAGTGACTCCCCTCAGCCTCCAGGGGAGTGGGTCTGTGTCCAGAGCTATGTGGGAGGCTTGTCTTGAGGGCTCCTCACCTGGCTGACCTGTCTCACTGCCCCTGTGGCCCAGCTCCATCCTTGGGCAACTCCAGCATAGTGGGGAGGGGATGATTAGGGATGGTGTAGCCAAGGGCTGCCATCAGGGAAGGGAGCTGTGGAGCCACTGTGACTGTCCTGGTCAGCAAATAGCATGCCACCCCAGTGAATGCTTATCTTCTTTTAGTGGGACTTGATGGGGAGGTGGGGTACGGAGAATGGAAAGTAGCAGAGTGAGAAGACTTCAGTGCCCGTGGTGTTGCAGGGCTTCTGCACATCAGAGCAGCTGCTGGCCCAGAGAAAGCTGCAGGGTTCCTCTGTGTAGATGAGGACCCTTGGAGGCAGGCCATCCTGGTTGGATACCCTGGTAGGAAGGGGTTAACCTATCAGCCTTGGAAGCCTCCTGGGTACACTGTGGACAGTAGGCACCCTTAGGGCTGGTGGGGACTTGGAGCCTTAGGAGAAGCACAGAGAAAGCTGAGCTCCTTCCTTAGATGCACCAGCCTCCGGTTGAAGGTGCTCAGAGCCCCATATGGGCTTCGGGACCTGCACTGTTCCTCTGTCCGTGCAGGTGGCCAGCGCTTCTCCCTGCTCTGGGAGCATTACCCAGCGATCCACCCCATCCCTGCATCTACAGGGGTTGTCGGGGAGACCCAGTGAGAATGTAGCATTTTGTTCATCCCCAGGTTAGTTGCCCTGGGGTCTGGGCACTCTGCCTCTGGGAAAGGGAAAGGGAAAGAGGGAGAGGAATGGGGATCCATCTTTTTTAACCTGTACAGAGTATTTGGCTTTATGTTCTTCACATGTATCTATGTGTGTGTGTATATATATATCTTTCCCCTCCATCAGTTGGTACAATTTTTAATAAAATCATTAAAAGCAAAACTGGTCTTTCTTTTTCAAAGCATGGTTGAAAGTGCAAACAAATCAATTAGGGAATTAAAGACTTCTAACTTGTTTCTCACCTGCCATCCTGAGTTACCCTGGAGGCTCTGGGCTTTTGTTAGGACTTCTTTCCCCTTCTGGAGTTGAGAAGAGCAATTTTGACGACATAGTAAGCAGCACAGCAAAGTCCCCATGAGGTGGAAAGACATGGGCTCTGGAGCCCATCACACCTGGATTTGGATCCCAGCTGCCACCAGCTGAGTGACCTTGGCCAAGTTATGTAACCTCTGAGCCTTCAGTTCTTCCATGTGTAAAATATAGCTATGCCTCCCTTGCAGGATGAGAGGGAATGTGTCAAAGGACTGGCCCACCTGGCACTCAGCAATGTCAGCCAGTGTTGGGAAGGGCCTCATCAGCTCCTCCCACCCAACCCCCATCCTTTCATCAAGCTGGGCTTTGGTTTCCTTTTATCAAGGTAGCATCTCAGGAGGCATACTAGTTGTATGGGGACTTCCTGGCTTGCATTTCTTTGTGGATTAACAAAGTCTGACTCAAAAGGATAGTGTAAAGCTCTTGACAGTGTTCTGAAGATCTTTGGGAAAGCCACACCTGGTCCTATCAGCAGTAAACTGGGAGTGAAAGGGCCAACCCGCCTTGCCTGTGCCAGGCCTTCAGCTCTGAGCTCCAGCCTTGGACTCCAGTCCCTACCCTCATATGGAGTTAGAACTTGATGTGATGTTGGATCATCTTGTCTAACCTCTTTTTTTCATAGATGAGTAAACTGAGGCCTAGAAAGGGGATGTAGCTTTCTGGGCCTCAGTTTACTCTTTAAATAGCTGAGTCAGTCTGAATGGGCTGGCCCCATCCATTTGTGTTTCCTTTTGGAAATTGCACTGCTCTTGCCCAGATCTTTGAGGAAGCCAAAACTTGTCTATTTTTAATGCCAAATAACTGCCTCTTCTCCTGTAAAACATGGCACTTCTAACCACTCTGTGTTTGGACAGAGAAGTTTATTTTTACTGGAGTGTGGTAGAAATGGGGCCTGGTGCCATGTCCGGATGTTATTCTACATTTCACGTGCGGGACTGGAGTTGAATACATTAAGCAGTTCCTATGAGATGCACAGAGAACTGGTGTTATGGTGATGGTAATGTGTTTCTTTCAAGTCATGTGCCCCACCTTGCGGAAGGCTGCACTCAGTTGCCAGGCTAGAAGCCTGAGTGCCCACCCTCGCCTCACCCACATCTCCCCCTTTCTCTCTCAATACCTCCAGAGGAGTTATGGTGAGAAGGCACAGCTGCTCAAATTTGAACCCAGGATGTGCTGCTCATGGCCGTATGGCATTGGTCAGGTCACATAATCTTTCTGTGCCTCAGTTTCCTCATCAGTAAAATGAGACAATAGTACCTACCAATAGGTTGTTATGAGGATTAAATGAATAAATGTGTGTGAGGTGCTTAGAATAGTGCTTTATACATATTAAGTTTTCAATAAATTTAGCTATTAATATTATATAATGTTACTTATTATTTCTAGGCAATTGATCAATAAGCTCCAACCATTCTTTCTTGGAAACATCTCTTATGTCTAACTTCTATCTCTGCTGCATTGTTTTAATGTAAGTCCTTATGTCCGGACAGCTGCAGGGCCTCCTACCTGTCCCCTGCCAGCCTTGCTTCTTCCACAATGCTGCCTTCTCTGCTGCTGGGGAAATGTTCTAAATGGCAGACCCAATCCCATCACCCACACTGGAAAACTTGCCCTCCTGGATCATTCATTCCTCAGCCTGCCTTTTCTGCCACCCCCTTGTATTAGTACTCTATTCTGCGTAACAAATTACCCCCAAATTTAGCAGTGTAAAGCAACAATCACATTCATTATTCCACAGTTTCTGTGGGTCAGGAACTCAGGAGCTGCAGCGCAGGGTAAGAGCATAATAAGACACTGGTATTAAGGAGGAGATTCCTAAAGCACCCACTTAATTTACATGAAGTTTACATGAATTTACTGTGTACGTTCAGCTGAGAGCGACAGAGACATAGTGATGCATTGATATATAGGGCCACAGTGCAGCAGCCGGGTCTCACGCCCTTCCACTCCATGAGCAGTGGTGCCTGGAGGAAGAGTGATAGAGGAACATGCATGACAGTCCTTCCCTGGCCTCATATCACACCAGCGTCTCATCACACTCAAAGATAAGTTTCTCTGGGCCACCAGCACCCTAAATGCCAGCCAGTGTTTTCCTCTGCTGCTCAACTGAGGCAACAGAACTCTTTTCCAACCTGGAGGAAAAGCTGGCCGGCTGGGATTTCCTGAGAAGTGATAATGTCTGCTTGTTGTACTTCATGGGTGTTTTAAAGGATTTTCAAGAGCAATTTTCACTTCATGTGATTTTTTCCTTACAGGAGGTCTTGGAACAAGTCCCTGTGTAAAATGAGACTCCTTTGGACCACTAAACCCTGAATCCCCTGCTTCCCAGGAGAAGTTTTTGCCCTCCTAACTGGGAAGGCTCAGTGTGGAATTAGAATTTGAATTGGAATTGCCCTATAGTGAGGGTGAGAGTAAGTGATATTAGTGATGTCCTGTCTGGTCACTGCTTTTGCTGCCATTCACAGGTCCCCTGGCTACCCTGCAGGAGGATCTGTCACCAGATTTGAATGAATGCAAACCCTGCCCCTTAAAAGGTCCACGGAATGAGTCAATGGCACTGGCAGAGCCCCTCACCAGGAGCAAGGCACCACCCTAAGCCCAGTGCACAGATTAGAAAGAAACAGGTCACATGCTCCTGTCCTCAAAATTATGTTCTACAAGAAATCCAGGTGGTATGGAACAGTGGAAAACCCACCCAACTGGGATTAAGGAGACTGGGTTTTTAAGCTGACTCTATCATTAACTGGCTGAATGACTTTAGGCAAGGAAGTGACTTCACTTCTATGGTCCTTCGCGTCCTTATCTGTCAGTGGGTTAGGACCAGACTGCACACCTGTGAGCTGCCCACATTTTATTCAGCAGTTTCTTTGTTGGGTCTTGAACTCTTCTGATATTCTGCTGAAATAATATACGAATCCTCTCCTCAGGAAAGGGTACATAATATGCACAAACTCAAGAATTTTTGTATAAGATTTCAGGCAAATTATTGTCTCTAAACCTGTCACTTTGTCCCCAGTTTTAAGGACTATGGTTTTATTGCAAAAGAACAAGGACTGCAAAGACTTAAAAACCAAAGCAAGCCCTTTCCTCCTTCCACTCCTGACTCGCCTCATACTGCAAGAAGTTACCTCTTCCTCCTGTACATTTCACCCTGTGTGCACCGTGAAGGAGGAGGGAGCAATCTCTGGGAACACTAGTGTTTACTGTACTGCATTCTTGATTTCAGAGATGTGCCCTTCCTGTCAGCACACTCAGAGTCTGAAAGCTGTGACAATGGTCTGGTTCTTTTGGAGGCCACGACCACAGCCCAGACAGTGTATTTGGCCATAGTTGTCATTGAGGTGCTTCTATCTTATCCAGCTTAATAAGGGGCAATGAACCTGGGGTGCCTTTCTACAAACTCAGAAAGGGGCTTCTGATCAAGGGAGGCTCATGTTGACTGAGCTGGTGGGAAGCAATCAGATGCTGGAGGTGAAGGTGAACATTGCCTGTGGCCATGGGAGACCCAGGAGCTGATGCGGGCAAAGGCCTTGGACTCTGGGCAACCCTGATAAAAGCTTATTTTCACCTGAGTGAGCCCTGGGTTCTGCCCAATGAGTTTATCTTTGTAGTGGAGAGGGTTCAGTGCCTGGTGGCAACCTCATTTCTAGTACACCATGACATTTGCCAAGTGCCCTTGAGGTCCAGGCACCAATTTCACAGATACTGAGCACACACACTCACACATACACTCACACTCAAGTGGGCTGGGTATTGTTCTCAGCAGCAGCCACAGAAAACCCCATTAGCCCCTGAGTCTGGTGGATCAGGGCTGGGGTCAGTGAGCCTCTTGCCCAAGCAGCAGGACTTGGTGCTGCCTCAATCTTCTGAGCTTATGGCTGTTCCAGATACATAATTTTGGTGACCTCTACCTGAAATGTAGAGAAGAACTGGTGACCTTTCATCGACTGGAGAAACTGAAATCCACCAGCAAGAATGGACTTCATACCATTAAGAATCAGCAAATCTCCCCTCCACCTCTTACCAGCAGCAGTCAGCGTTTTCCCAGAACAACTGTCACCATTTTCTTGACCACCAATGGACATTGTTGCGTGAGTGCCGTTTTGCATGTCTGGATAGACTGAAGGTCCCTGGTGGGCAGGAACTAGTCTGTCTCATTCTTCCCACTATAGCCCCACTGTCACTGTAGCCACACTATCCAGCAAAGAACTTGACACTTGTGGGGAGCTGAGAAATCTTTGTGGAAGGAAGAAGTGCAGAGTAACGACGGGAGCAGTGAAGAGCGCTGGTGTACGATGTTCAGCGAGGTGGGCCATCCACCGCCATGGTCACTTCGGAACTCCTTCTCAGCAGTCCCACGGGACCAGGCTTTGAATGGCAAAATGAGCCTTGTTTCCTTTCCTTTCCTCCCCCAGCCAGAGTCCGGAAGTCAGATTCTGCAGACTTTCAGGAAATTTGACTTGCTCACTTCAGTAAGGGTCAATGCAGCGATTTCTGGGCTGCGACGGGGTTGGGGGAAGGGCACACTGGCACTGGGGCAGGTGGGCTATGAGCAGTGTAGGATGGTGGGCTAGATGGAGGGCCATCTGCTGTGAGCAGAGACCAAGCTCACCAAGTGCCTGCAGGTCCTGAACACCTTGGTGAAGGATGCCACACATGGGCTGCTGGTCCCTGCGGGTGCAGCCAGGGTGGGCTGAATCAGCAGTCTGCCAGCTTCCCTCTGGCAGTGCCCTGCCAGCCACCACCTCCCCCTCCTGAGCAGGAAGAACAAGGGGGAGGTGTGGTCCAGGCTTCCCTGTTCTCTTCTCCAGTTCATCCCAGCTCTCCAGGAGAAGGGGGATGAG